TTAGTAGTAGTAGTATTAGTAGTAGTAGTAGTATTAGTAGTAGTAGTAGTAGTAGTAGTAGTAGTAGTAGTAGTAGTAGTATTAGTAGTAGTAGTAGTAGTAGTAGTAGTATTAGTAGTAGTAGTATTAGTAGTAGTAGTAGTAGTATTAGTAGTAGTAGTAGTATTAGTAGTAGTAGTAGTATTAGTAGTAGTAGTAGTAGTAGTAGTAGTAGTTTTAGTTACACTAATTATTATCATTATGTTCACTTGCATATTGTTATTATTAGTAGTAGTTTCATTTTCACTAATTATTATCATTATTATTATGTTCAATTGGAAGGGTTAAACCCGTTGGGGTCGTGCAGTTCATGGTTACATGAGACAAAGACTAGGAAATGCTTTAAGATTAATTACTCCAGACATTCTTAAGTTATTGTCACAGTAAGTGGAGCTGTAAACTTGGAGACCCACGTTCACGGACGCCTGTGTACGTAGAGGCTCAAACAAGGACTCCTGTCTACACCAGAAAAAATTATATAGGCTGAGAATTTACCTTCTGATTTCCTTACTCTGTCTTCTTTACACATTATGTAGTTTACTTATTACAATATGGTTCCCTTGGTTTAGTTTCTGTTAGCTCTACTGTATCTGGATTCTTTTTCGATGTTCTGTTATTTACCCGTTGTCTTTTGAGATTACCCATGTTCCATTGGTAGCGCATTTAGATCAAACACTGGGTGTCTGTGGTTCGATCCCCGGTACGGATGGAAACATTGGGCGTGTTTCCTTAAGACACTTGCTGTCCATGTTCACCTAGCATTAAATAGGTACCTGGGTGTTAGTCGGCTGTTGTGGGTGGCATCCTGGGGGGGGGGGTAGTATACCTCAGATAGTGCTGGGTTTGAAAAATGAACTGAGGTAGGATAACAGATCTTAGTCTCTTAAAATTGAATTGTGTAAAACACTCCACAGCCTTAAAAATACAGAATATTAAAGTAGATAAAGTAATTAATAATAATAATAATAATCATAGACTGATTTGTTCATTTCCAAATGCGTTTCCTCCCTTATGACTGCATTTCTTGCTAGATCATAAAAAGTTACCTTGGCAGCTTGCCCACCCTCCAGCCACAACTATTTCCTTCCAGCTCTGTGAATTCATGAGCGTTTTGAGGTGTACCTGTTCTCGCTGAGTTACGTGCAAGGACACATTGTCAAGGAGAGATGTTTTTGTCGGTATTGATTGGTAGAAACCAGCCATCCAGGGAGGTGTTGATCTGCTGTCAGTGTGATATGGCAGCTGGTTAGTTTGATTCTCTGGCAGGGTGTACCTTTTATATACCTTTGGTGGGTTTCGAGAGGTTTATTAATCTCGGCTCGAGGTCAGGTTTGTCTGGTGTTTGCTTGGTTAACCAGGCTTTTTCTGTTGGCTCCTCACTGGCCCACAAATCCTTCACAGTCTGGCTGATCTCTCACTTGACGGAGGTACTTGTCCAGTTTCCACTTGAAAACATCTACACTTGTGCCAGCAGTGTTTCTGATACCTTTTGGTAAGATGTTGAATAGTCTGGCACCACAGATGTTGATAGTGTTCTCTTATTGTGCCCTCGGTGCCTCTGCCTTTCACTAAGGCAGAGGTTCTCTGAGCCATTCATCTACAATCCTGTCTGACACTGCAACTTCTTGGGATCTTAATACTTTGGAATTCTTCGCTTGCCTAACCCTTGGGCACGACCTACTTGCACATTGGTCAAATGTGATACCACCTACAACTGCTGCACCTCTCCTGTCTACGGTATATAAGCTACTTCTCTGCAGATATGCTGCATTCTTTTCAAGATTGATGGACTGACCACATCGACTCAAGGCCGAGGGACTGATTACCTCAAACTCCTCCTGTTCTTCACCATTCAACTTTGTTCTACACTTTTTCCCATATCTCTCACTCCAGTATGTTATGGCAGTGTGCAAATTTGGAACCAAGCCCTTAGGTACTTTCCACATATGTATTATCACGTATCTTCCTACTCCACTTCAGTGAGTACGTATTTTGGCATCTGAGGTTTTTTTCAATAGTCTAAATGCTTTATTGGCTCCATTTGGGCAATGAATGACCTCTGTATCTCTTCAGTTCTGATATCTCTCCTGCTGGTAACTGACTCTCCGAGCGAGAGAGCACTGGTGATTTCAAAAGTGTCACCATTGGTATTATTTCTCTTCTTTCAAAGTTCTCATTATCAACCAAGTTATTTTCCTGGCTGTGGTAACATTTGCTTTGTGTTCGTTGAAAGAAATGTCAGCTGGCATTATTACTCTCAAGTCCTTCGCGTGTACTGTACCTCTCATTGTATTTAGTGATTCCTTTGTGTTTTTATACAGTATCCAGTTCTTCATTCTTTCTATATCTAAGAAACTAGAACTTGTCAGTATTGACAGACGTATTATTTTTCACTGCCCACTGAAAGATTGCTTATACATATATATATATATATATATATATATATTATATATATATATATATATATATATATATAATATATATATATATATATATATATATATATCGCGTGTGTGTGTGTGTGGTGCCGAATAAGTAAAACTTGCTATTTTGGCTTAAATAGCAACGTTCTTCTTGCCGAATAGGGCAAGCGAAAATTGTGTATGCAGTAATTTCGCA